GCTTCAGATTTTAAGAAGAAATTTAAAGGAACATTTACCTACAGCGTATGAGTCTAACAGGCATCAATATAACCTTCGCTCACGATCTATTGTGTACATGGTTGGACAAATCGTTTTCCGACGAAATTTTGCGCAAAGTTCCCAGGAAAAGAAGTACAACACAAAGTTAGCACCACTTTTTATTAAAGCCGTAATTAAGGAAAAAGTTGGAAGTCACTATTATGTATTGCAGGATGTTGATAGTAATAATAAAGGCACATATCATGCAAAGGATATTCGTCCTTAAATGTTGTATGCTCCTCCTAATACTTTGGCATAAAATGCAAGTATTATGTGGTTTGTAACATGAGTTTAAATTTAACGGTCTATTTGAGTGTACAGTACATATTACACTTCGTGCCTAAATCTAGTTACCACTATGTTTGTGTGTTGTCTTTTGCATAGTTTTTGCTTCATCCACAAGTGCAAGAGGTTTGCTTGTTAAGCGCAATTCAATTGGTCGTTCTTTTTCATCGATCCACCGTGTTAAGAACATCAGCAAACTTACAAAATTGGAAGTACTAAAGGTTTCTAATAAACTATAAAAATTTTATAGAGATAAAGTAAATTCCTCAAAAATATAAAGTTTTTTCTTGCTGAGGATAACATAAATCCTGTGGAATATTACACATTTTAATTTGTTAAAAACGAGTTAATTGATTTAAAAGTGTTTAATATCAGAAATTGCTGATCGGCTGCCACGCGGTACTGGAAAATTTTGTTATATAATTCTTCAAAATCCAATTTACAAAACTTTCACCGATGATATTGTTCTTAATTCATTATAATAGCAACGAATTCAAAAAAAGGCAAATTAGGCTGAATTATCAATAACGTGTGTCTTTCAAGAAGTTCAATTTTTTCAGAGGATACCCTAACCTTTTGGTGGTCATTATTTGGGGGCTCCGTGGAGCCACCACTATAGATCACAACATTACATCTCCACGTGTTGGAAATTTAACACCACATTTTTTCGAGCCGAAATAAGCAGTAAATTGTGATATTTGATATTGCATAAAATCTATAATAGCTTGGATATAAAACCGTGCTGCATATCTTGTGCGGTTGCGTGCTATGCTGCATCCCAAATCTATACAAAACCATCCTAGACGGCTACCGAAAGTTGAGAAAAAACTGAATACATACGAAATCCCATACTTAAACGCTAATGGAATGACATCATACACTGTTCCTTACCCAGTGTCAATCATCAATCAGAATAATTGGAAATAGATCCAGATTTTTTCTAATAGTTATTTAAATAACTAAAATTATTAACCAGCACGTTGAATTGCACACAATATCAAACGATCGTGAAGTGAAGTTTTTTTTATAAGTTAATTTTTATAAGTAATGCGAAATTATATTCATTGTCTACTATCATCAAGAGAAAACTCAAAAATTAGTGGAGTCACCCATATCAAATTTGTTAGCAGAACAAACATTTTGGTATAACAAGCGTTTCTAAAACATAAGTTGACAAGCATATAAGCAACGTCAAAAAACTAATTACATTGATTTGTACCCCGCATAGCAACAAACAGCAACGATGGATGAGGCCTCATCCAGCCGTACACTTGTTTGGTGAGTTTAATATATATATGTGCATATGTAAGTAACATCTGTAATGTTGTCTTTTGCTTTGCTGTCGCTTAAAAAAGAAAAGAAACAAATCAAAAGCAAAGACACCGACGATCACAAATATGTATATATGTATGTACATACGTACATACCTATATATGTAATTACATATTCTCACCTTATTTGCTCTATCGATCACTAAATTGTTCTGCTTCATATATTGATTTGTTTAAAATTTGTTTGTCTTGTTGCGACTTTTTTTGATTTTTTTTATTTATAATGATCATCATAAGTATACACATCCTTGCCTATAGACTTAAGGGAATGCATTTATATAAGATAATTTCATGAATTACCTATAAATTTGAAGAAGTATAATGAAGTGTTATATTAGAAATAAATATTCAGAAAATGAGTGAATAAATCTCTAAATTTTCTTACATGGTGTAATCCAAAAACTTACTTAGATACAACATTAGGGATTTTAGCTTTAAAACATGCTGCATAGCTGAAATCATAGGTGGGGAGGGTACACCGCTCCAGGATTCCAAATCATCTGGAAATCCAAAATTGTATTTGATTGATTGTTTATTTCTTCGCACGTTGATCCATATGTGGTATTTTGTCATCTATATATATTATATTCGAGATCAGCTTAGTTTTGTTATTAATAAGTATATTTTATACCATAGACAGACGACAGCCTTAATTTGCATTAAAAAGTTCTTAATTTGAATAAATATTTACCCCTGACAGACGAGAGTTTCTGCATTTACGAAACAGTTTTTTGCTTCAAAACAATTGTTTGTCTGTGTGTAGTATGAAATTTTTTACATTTGTTTCGATATTTTTCTGGATTACATCTTTAGGAAATAGATACATGACATAAAGAAGGAATAGCAACTATGATATTAGGAAAGCAGCTCCCAATTCAAAAAATTATTGAAATTTGCCTTCATTTCTTATTTTTATTTTCATAAATATAAATAAATTTGACAAGAAACAATTAATTTTCGACAGCATTGCCATATTGAAATTGCCTAATTCAGTATAAATTCAGTTTGATTTTGTGCATTAACAACACATAAAAATGAGGATAATGTACAAGTTAATTTGAATTAAGGCTGTTAATGCAAATTAAGGCTGTCGTCTGTCTAGGCTATTAGGGAGTCTATAAATTTATTTCTTGTATGGACATACCATGCTGGAGTTGTGTGAGCAAGAACCACCCCAACCCGGCTGATCGCTAGCCCAGTTAATGGCTCCCGCCTCGCTCCTCAACCTCAAGACAATATAAGATTAAATTATAATAATTTTTGAGTGGTCCATTACAGTTTTTGGAAATTCGTACTAAAACTGTATTGCGCGGGAATGGTTAGATGTAGAACTCTGAAATTTGGTATGCAGTTTTTTCTACGATAAGCGAAATGGTATCTGTGAAAAAAATTGTAATTTAATACTAAAAGGTATTATAATGCACTAAATATTATATTTGAATGGAATGGATAGAAAGACATACCTTAAACTTGGTATGTAGCTGAAGGTATTACAAATAGAATGTTGTGCAAAAACATTTTTGGGAAATTAGTACTAAAAAAAGTACTAAAAACGGCATTGCGATGGAACGATTGGAAGTAGAACTCTGAATTTTGGTATTCAGATTTGTCAATGATAAGCGAAGGGGAATGTGTGAACAAATTTTGGAAATTAGTACTAATTATTATAATTGAATGGAACCGGTAGAATAACATATCTGTCTGAATCCGAATCGATATTCTCTCCTCGGATCAATCGAACGTCTAAAACACTGGATAATTGCCTTTCGTCTATCACAACATGGTCGATTTGATTTCTCGTTGTTTGATCGGGAGAAATCCAGGTGGCCTTTTGTATCTCGATATACACATTTCTCCCGATCTCAAATCTGGTGCTGCTAACTACAATGTTTTTTGCTGCCGTTAAGTCAATTAACTTCTTGCCGTTCTCTACTGTTCCTCCATGAAGGCTGAATTTTTTGACGGTGGGGCCAAAAATCCCTTTCGATTTTTGGATTATTTATCAGAATTTTAATGTCATGGCCAGTTTTTTTATGGGTAGACTCGCGGCACTATCAGCTCACTATTTCAACGTAGCTCACTATTTCAAGGATATAGCTATCCTTGTAGAAATTTGTCCGCTTCGCGACGTCCCCAAAATTCCGTTTTTTGGTGGGGAAATGTTTCACTTATGAGAATCCAGAATATCAAATTACAGTCAATTCTACTAATTTCTCTTATAAAACTTTTAGCACTTTCATCGAAAAAATTTGGCAACACTGAATCTAAACCAATAATGTTCCAGGTTACATGTCTCAATATCCGAATAAGGAAGAATATAATTAATATTAGTTTCAATATCTACATGTTAAGATGAAATAGGTTGTTGACAGGTTGTCGAAATATTCACCGGAGACAACACAAAGTACATACCTTATTAGTCAGAATAAAATTCGATGTCGATTTACGCATGGCTGCCTGTCCGTCTGTTGAAATCACGATAGAGATCGCAATATTTAAGATAGAGCTCTGAAATTTTTCACAGATATTGCTAGCACCCCTAGGATTTTTGATAATGCAAATTAGATATAGCGCTGTATTTGGTGTTGCTCTCATATAATGGCCCCCCAATATTCGGCATTTTGGGCACGTTTTTCATCCGAATGGACTGTAATTTGGTATTTTGTACGATTATTGAGTATCAAATCTCACTACTGAAAATTATCAATATCGATGCCCGTTTTGGTATAACGGTAGCCCCACTATTCGATATTTTGAGAATTTAAAACATTTCTAGGAGTCCCATTAATTTTAGATATTTTTATGTCGATATAGAATCTCCATAAACACCTTTCCTGTATTGTTTGAAGTTGTGATAATTTAAAGTAATTTAAACAATTGGACGAAACCTATAATATGACAGTATTCGACATCTTGGCACATATACAAATACGCATCTTTTTTTTTTTTTTTTTGTTAAATGCATTGTATAATAATATAAGGTAAAAACAAGTGTTGATGTACAAAAAATAAAACATGGAAATTTGCTGTTGTAAGTAATACTAGTGTAATTGCAAATGTAAACAAAACATACAAAAAAAAAATAAATCTAAAAAGCATAAATGAAAATCTATCAAATTTATATTTCTATCGCTTCCAATTTTTTCCTTTGTTGTTATATGTCAGTAACATTGTGACATATAACAACATGTAACATATATACAAATTCTGGAAATTCTATGAGAAAAGCTTTAATGCTTTGAACTTTACCAATAGACATAATTTGTCATATGCCTTGACACGAGTACCTTGTATAATTGTACCATGGAATAAATGGTTGGTTACCTGGTTTAATGCAGGACATGCCACAAACTCCATCACACAAACACTTCTTTTTTTTACTTTTGCAATCTTCATCGGACGAACACTTCCTTAAACACTTCTGACCAAGTAGGGTTGCTTGTTCTTCGTCTCGTGGACATTCGGATGAGGGCGAATTTCGAGGGTTTTTGTATATTCTGCCATCATCATCAGCTTCAGATGATTCATCTTCATCCCAATCATCGTCTTCGTCATCTTGGGGAATTTCAGTTTGTGCAAGAGGAACAGCTATAACTGAAAATGCACAATAATTTGGGACATCTTTATAACATTGACCTAATTTCAGTATTATTTTATTCTACGCGTATATATATATATATATATATTTTTTTTTTTGTTTCTACATATAATATGAAAATATTGCAAATGTTTACAATTTCGAGATAGTTAAAATGTGTATGTGTGTTAGTTTAATATTGTTTTTATTTGTTAACAAAATTAGCATATTCCTGGAACATGCGCAATTGATGCTTATATAAGAGCACATTCCTTCAAAAACATACATTTTACCAAATTACGTTCTAAATTTGGCAAAATTCTAAGTTTATTTTGAAACTAAATTCTTAACTCCATGCTACTAGCGCTTATGTCTAAAGATTATTCCAATTATTACAAATTACAAGGCGTGAAAGCAACTTACCGATATATGCGAACAGTGTAAAAATAAGGATATGTAACAGAATACGATTCATTACTGCTGAACTTTACACGCTTATAACACTTGAATTCTTTGTTTCAGAATGTATTGATTGTAAACTTAAATTACTTTTTGATACGTTGGCCAATTAGCACTACGAGACATTTATGCAAAGATAAATATTATTTTAGCCAACTATAATTTTTTTCCTTCCGTATACTCTGAATGATTTGTTTGAAATGCAGCAGCAGTGGTTATGAACGTGTGTATTTATATGTGTAGATGTGTATGTATACGAACGTCAAATGTCTCCCATGACAAGCGCTTTGAGAGATTCATTAGTTATCGGTAATTCAAATGTATGCAGTTCAAAATTCTTATTGTTTTGTATTCGAAAAAGGTTTCAATAACAAAATTGAAAAATAAGTAACATCATGCAAATCTACCATATTGTTTGGGATATATATATATATATATATATGGGAGCTAAATCTGGACGGACGGGCATGTATAAATCGACTCAGAAAGTGATTCTATGCATATTCCCAAAAGGAACCATGGGTCTATATTGTTTCCTTTTGCCTGTTACAAACATATGCACAAAAACATAATAATATAAATTTGTAATAGCTTAAGTTGTATATCAAATTTCAGATATCTATCCCCTCCTAGTATAATGTTTAGTACTTTTTAATACCTTCAGTTCTAATCTCCAAAATTTGTTCACACATTCGGATTTGTTTATCATTGACAAAACTGCATACCAAATTTCAGAGTTGTAGTTACAACCGTTCTATATTGTTTCCTTTTACCTGTTACAAACATATGCACAAAAACATAATAATATAAATTTGTAATAGCTTAAGTTGTATATCAAATTTCAGATATCTATCTCATCCTAGTATAATATTTAGTACTTTTTAATACCTTCAGTTCTAATCTCCAAAATTTGTTCACACATTCGGATTTGTTTACCATTGACAAAACTGCATACCAGAGTTCAGAGTTGTAGTTACAGCCGTTCCGGCGTAATAAATTTTTAGAGTCATTTTAGTACTAATTTTAAAAAAATAGCTTAAACTACACACCAAATTTCCGATATATATTTCTACCTGTTCCATCGTAGTATAATATTTAGTACTTTTTAGTACCTTTAGTACAAATTTCCAAAATTTGTTCACCAATTCTGATTCGCTTATCATTGACAAAGCTGTAAACTAAATTTTAGAGTTACACTTCCAACCGTTCCGGTGTAATACAGTTTAGTACTTTTTAGTACCATTTTAGAACTAATTTGGTGACAATGTCAATAGTAAGTCAGTACGGATTTACTGTAGACATTCCTACGGGGTTATTTTTCGCCTCGGCAAAAAATTGACGTTAAACTTAATAAAAGCAACTGTTTTCTCTATGAATTCGCATACTGGCAGACCTTATATAGGCCTTGTGTCATGCCTTGGTGACAAAAACAGCCCTGAAACAGACGCCTAGAATAGAAAGCATAAAACCAAAGTATATTTAATAAGGTAGCCGCACCGGCCCAGCTGTTGGTGCAAATAAATGTCAAAAATGTTGTTGTAATGATGAACCAAAAAATTCAAAAACAAAATTATAAATGAAAATCTCCGAATTTCGTAGAGCTTTTTTGGCAATACTTTTATTAACATTTTCTACAAGAATTTGTGTAAAAAATCTTGTCAATCTGTTTGTTTTGGCAAAATATTTTTGACATATCAAAATACAACAACTGATGTTTGTTGTAGAAATTCGCCGAAGCGACTACCTTGTATATCTACCTTGCATAAAACAGTCATTGATTGTTCATGTTCTTATACGGCATTTACATTAGAACTTTTTAACGGGTTAACCTACTTTATGAGGATTTATTTGGCATATATTCAAAGGAATTGAAAATTTAAACCCACTCGGTTAACCAAATCCGGTTCAATGTAAACGACCTTTTACATTGTTTATAACGTGTTTTTTTTTAATTTTTCCCACGAAAATGTATAAATCTTTGTGTGTGCGTGTGTGTGTCATTTGTCGAAGCGCGAACGTTGAAATATTTTTTTCGATTTAGTTATCCCTGGTAATTCCTTGATTTGTTATTTCGTGCTAGGCCGAATTAGTCTCGCAGAAAATATGAGAAAGGAACGCCATTTTTGTTTTAGCTTCCTTAAAATTGGCTCAAATTTTTGCTAGTTTTCGGCGTAAGGAAACGCTGTTCTAGCATAAATTCCAAAAGTTGAAAAATTAAATATTTTTGACTTAGCACTACACCTTTTTCACATGTTATTCAAAACATATCAAATGTAATTCGAGAATTCCTTTTGTAATTCACAACATATGATTTGCAATTAGAGAATTCCATTTGCAATTCATAACATATCAGTTGTAATTCGAGAATTCAATTATTAGAATATCTTTCAAAATTCATAGAATTCCATTTGAAATTCAAAGGATTGCTTTTGAAATTCATAAAATTCCATTTAAAATTCAAAGAATTCCATTTGAAATACATAGCATTTGATTTGGAATACATAACATTTCATTAGTTATTCATAACATTTTATTGGTAACACACAAAGGGTATGTATGAATTTGAAATGAATTGTTACAAATTATAACTGAAATTTTATGAATTACAAGTGAAATGTTATTAATTTCAAATTGAATTCTTTGAATTTCAAATGAAACTACGAAATTCAAATGGAAATTACTAATGAAATTCTTTAAATTTCAAATGGATTTTTTTGAATTACATATGAAAAGTTAAAAATTGCAAATGAAATGTTGTGAATTACCAACTACATTCTCGAATTACAAATGAAATGTTATATATTGCAAATTGAGTTTTCGAATTACAAATGAAGTTATAGAATTGCAATTGAATTGTTTTGAATAACAAAAAATTTCCAATTTAAAGAATTCCATTTATGATTCGTATATTTCCATTTGAAATTCGTAGAGTTTCATTTGAAATTCAAAGAATTCAATTTGAATTTCATAACATTTCACTTTCAGTTGCGATTCGTAACAATTAATTTCAAATTCATACATATTCTTTGTGTGCTACAAATAATATTTTTCAAATTTAAAATTAAATGTTATAAATAACAAATGAAATATAATGTATTTCAAATGAAATGTTATAAATTTCAAATGGAAATCTTTAAATTTCAAATGGAATTTTATTAAGTTGAATTACAAATGAAATTAAGTTGAATTACAACTGATATGTCACGAATTGCAAATAGAATTCTCGAATGGCAAATTATAGGTTGTGAATTACAAATGGAATTCTCAAATTACATTTGATATATTTTGAATAACATGTGAAAAATGTGTAGTAACACATGGGCTATGAAAATACAAAGGAAAAATAGAGAAAAAGGCGAATTGTTGACAATTTGTTGCAGGAGTTACCAAAAGGCAAATGATCCATCTGGCCATTTTCAGAATCTACCAATTCGTATAATTTAATATACAATGGTGGACATTTCACATTCAACTGAAATTTACTACGTGGATAAAACTATATCGGTAATTTTTCTCATACATGTTGCTGCGTATTTATTTAATAAAATTTATAAATTCATATTCTTTTTACCAAAATAAGAAATGTAACTATACCATTAATTTAGTTAACTTGTTTTATCACATATATTTACAGTCGAGCACGTTTAAAACTTTTTAATAGCGAACACATTTTTCTGAACCCAAAGTTTAAAAACATATTTTTCTCACAAATCTTGTAGTTAAAGCGAACAACGGATATAGCGAAAATTTTCACGATGAACTGTTTATTCGTTCCCATCTTTCTTTTATTTTAATATGGTTATAAGAAACTTGCTACTAATATTCTCAATACTGAACTACTGTCGTAGTTCAGTTAATTTTTACGTTATTGCTAAAAAGAGGAAACATAAAATAAATAAACAATTTATATTATTACAATTATCCAAATACTAAAAAGAATAAAAATTAATCTGCTTAATTGAATATAAAGAAGTAAGGTTGAATATATCTTATTGAAAAAAGAGAAAAAAATAAATTATTAAATATTATTTGTTGAAAAAAATCGATTTCAATCGAAGATAATTTTTGAAAGGTTTTCCTTATATGAATATAAAAAAAGAAAGTGATGGTTAGTTAGGGAAATCACTCTCATTCTCGATTTGAAATGTCGGCGATTTTCAAATGGCTGGCAAAAATTTGAAGTCGCATGAATTTGCGTGCAAAAGATAAAACCCGGTGGCTCTCAATTTTTTACCATTGATAGCATTCCTGAAGTATTACAAAAAAAGTATTAAGGGTGAATTGTTAATTTGTCCCGAAAGTCGTGTAAGTGACCGGAAGTGCCTATATATGTATTTGATGACTTAAAGGATAAGAAAATTAATTGACATAATTTTTGTTGTTGTTATTGTTTTGTAATTAAAAAAAGTCATTCTGTTCGGGGCGGGCATAATTTCTGACCACTGGAACATTTAAATCCAAAAATGACAACGGCATTCGAAAAAGTACATATATGGCTCTCGTTATGAACTAGAATTATTAACATCGCACAAAAATTAACAAAATGTCGGTTCTTTGA